AGACTCTATCATTGTTATATATGCAAATTGGATAACTTGGCCAGTGAAGTGAAATTCCTCCGTAGGGGAATATGAAGCAATTTTGTGATTCCGAGTGAATGAACTTGGATAACTTATAATGGCGAGTCATCGACTGAGGGAACCTACGCAACGAATATAAGCATCCGACACGAAATCGCGGGCAATATTCACATTGCAGAGCCTGGGAAGCCATGGTTTGCATAGGCAGTTAAAGCGACCTAAGGTCGATCGTTTTTTAAACCGCTCTGTCGTAACCATTGTTATTGTCCAATGTCATAATCCGCCTATACTGCGATATAGCTTTAGTTAATTTGTGTTTAAGTTCAAAATATTACAGCTGACGTTTATTTTTAAAAACGTTTGAATGGTTTTTATGTATTTCTTAAAATTTTCTAATTTTCCCAAAGCAGCTTTAATAATACCCCTTAAAACGTTCGAAAATCTTTTCCTAAACTTTTAAAGGATCCGTTTTATTTTGGGGAGGGCGAAGAATTCGTTTGCAAATTCTTAATATTCACATTCACGCACTTCCCATCCTAAAAAGTAACTCTTCCGAGGTGCCGTTACATTTATTATTGCCTTGAAAGCTGGTGCTATACTGCGCAGAATACCCAGCGTAACTTTTAAAAGGTCGAATTGTCATTTTTTTCTTTTTTTTTTTTTTTTTTTTTTTTTTTTTCTTTTTTTTTTTTTTCGAATTTCAAATGTAATATAAAAGTACAAAAAACTGCATAATGCTGCGTAATGTACATCTTAAGCCCACGAGAAACTGTTTTAATATAAAAAATTAAAGGAAATTTCATTACTTTAACCCTTAAAAGAGAAGGCTGTTTTTTTCTCTTAAAAAGCTAACAAATTTTACATTTTCTGTGATGGTCGATCTATGTGTTGTGATTCATCTCACTTGTCTAACAGTAACATCTAGTCAATTTCATAAATTTTATCGTAGTGAGGAGCGCAGAACTATGACTAGCATGGGCACCTTCTAGGTGACACTTCAACTTGCCCAGTTCCATCCAGTTTTCAAGGCGAATCCCCCGAGGGGGGAGCGTGTCCAAGGTATTCCGCTGCCGCTTTCCCTACCACCAAACCACTCGTGGGGACAGTGTAACCTATTGCAAAGGCAAATTTGTGAGCCTTCTCCGGGATTCGAGCCCAGGCCCAGCGATATGGCAGCCAGCAACACTAACCAGTATCCGGATTAGCACATCTGGTCAGACTGCAAAGGGTGATAACGATTAAAGCGTTCATGCTTAGACTGAATTAGATTTGGATTATTTAGATTATGGAAAAATACTTGAGGACTATCTGCCTAAGGAGAGGGATGCCTTCATGGAGAACGTTTGAGGGACTGGCTCTATTCAAGTCATACATGGGAAAACCATTAAAACTTCCTTGCAGCCGGCCTTTTTAATGGGATTTGACTACATGTGACTACTACTTTTTTAACTACATGGATTCAGCGTCTTTCTCCTTCGGTCGTTGATGGACCATTCACGCATAGAAAGGGGCATACGGTAGAATATACAAATATAACGAAGATAATTTATGAATTGTATGTGTATTTAAACATTAAAAAGAATTTTCCTATTTAAACTCTTTCAATGTTCTGCATTTTTAGTTATATATAGATATATATCTTAAAAGTTAGAGTGGGAGGTTTCTATTCATCTATTAGCAGCAAGGTTAAAAAATGCTGAACTTTACCTCCAGAAAGCATAATTTTACATTACTATCTACCAGCTGTCTCTAGAAAGCATAATTTTACATTACTATCTACCAGCGTTTTAACATGGTTGTACTGTTTCTGCCCCTCAGACCCATCTTTAAAAAAGAAATTATATTCGCATAACGATTATTATGCTGTAATGCTTTCTGATGTTCAATAAAAAGTAGAACTTCGTAAAACACTGCTTTATTCTAGTAGTTTGAAAGTTGCTGCCCTAATCCTTATTATTCGTGTGTTCCTTCATAAATTTGCCAGCGGCATAAGATCTTTAATTTGTCCCTCAAATTAAAATTGTAATAGTGGTTTCACAAACTAGTAACTTTAAAAGCAATAAACATACGTCTTAATAATTAAATTTACATTTTAATTTAATAGTGTATCTCATCGATGTAATAGGCACGTAATACACCTCTTTTATATAATTTATCTAAATTATAACAAGTCTAAATGATATTTCTATGAACACTTGTAGCATTAATTAATAAAAAGGCTTGTCGCTATACATTATTACTTTCTTGCTAGAGAATTATCGTTTGCGCCAGAGAATTATCGTTTTAATAATTTACATACTTGTGTCGTATTTAGACACCTCTTTAATAATTTACATACTTGTGTCGTATTTAGACACAAGTATGTAAATTTAGACACAAGTATGTGTCGTATTTAGACACAAGTATGTAAATTATTAAATTTCTTTTAATATCAGCATCTGCCCGCCAGCAACCGAGAGGTAAAAGCCACTGTACATTGGTTGTTCGGTTCATGGTTCGAGTTCCGGCAAACGGGTTGGCTGTATGTACATTTTCGTGGTTTCTCCCATGTGTAACGTGGATACGAGCCAGTTTCGCGTTCAGCATCTTCCTATATATTGTCAATATGATGCCATACTATCGTTTTGAAATAAACAAATCATAAATTGTGTATGTTCACCGTAATGCGTCTAAAATGAAGTATTAATTAGATTTAATTAAGAGATAGCTGTTAATAATTGCTAGTAAGTATTTGTTTTAAATTAATTTTTGACAATGATATTATGTTCTTTCGTGACCCAGAAACACGTGTAATGAAATTTTACAATTGTATTACAGACAATACTTGTTTCACTGATTTTTTGCCAGTATTTAATGGCTACAAAAACTATGATGTAAAATTTTGCATGAAATTTATTTATATTCTTTTTCGCCATAACTGAAATCAGATGCAGAGCATTTTCACATGTAATCTAAAAAAGCTACTTAAAACGGTTAAAAAAGTATATTCAGATCAAATATAAAATTTTATATAAGAGTTGTAAAATTCTCAAAATTTTATGTTTAGCGGTACAAAAAAAAAAAAAAAACACCGCTCAATACCATAGGTATAGAAATAAATATATATGCTTATGCTATACATAAGTGTATAGCCATTGAGCAAATTCTGTGATTCAAAATTATTAGTTAAGCCTTTCTCTTAAAGGTTATCGTAACATATCAATAGCCCATATATAGGGTAATGTTAATAAAATACGGTGCTTCTCTGTTACAGCGGCTCCCAACTTGGCGATTTTAGATTTGCGTCAGTATCTCAACTATAATTTCACCAAGCTCGTGAAGCACGAATGTAAAATAGACAACGCAATATATAATAATAACAATAACACTTACACGTCGTTTCCTAAGAAAAATTTTAAGAATCCTTATCCTTATTCTTATTATTTTATCGCATGTAATTGTTCCAGACCATTTCATGAACGTCAACTCGTCTGCCCAAGACTACATAAATCTAATAGCTGTGACGAACGGTAGTCTGGAACCGCTAAACCAATTTCCAACACGGAGGCTTTCTTCTTTTTTCAGTTTTTTCACTCCGCACCTCCAAATAATGGTTTCATCGTTAACATAAAGTTTCATGTTGTGGTCATTAGCTCACACTGATTTGTCAATTAAAATACCTTTTTTTTTTTTTTTTTTTTTTTTTTTTGGAAAAATGATATGCCCACCAGCGGCCGAGCGTTAAAGTCGCTGAACACTGGTAGTTCGGTCCGAGGTTTGAATCCCACGAACGGGCTGGCTGCATGGGCGTTTTCGTGGTTTTCCCCATGTGTAACGTGTATACGAACCAGTTCCCTTAGAAAGTCCTCCACGAAGGCATCCCTCCTCTTAGGCAGATAGCCCTCGAGGCTTTGCCATACTCGCGCACACACACACGCACACACACACATAATTAAGTAAACCAAATCACTTGAAAAATGATATGGTATCCACCTCATTATTTGGTAAATTAAAGATTGTTGACATCATATTCACAAAAAAAAGGGCAAGGAATATATTTTTAAATAAACAATGCAATTTCGAAAACCTCATGAAAAACGAATAATATAAGAACACGCAGGGAGAGCAAAATATAGCAAGGTGCTAATATACGATCGCGTGGGGATGTATAAAAACCCGCAGCCGGCGTTAATATACGATCACGTGGCGAGGTATAAGAACGCATAGTCAGTGCTAATATACGATCACCCCGCCAGTGAGTTTTGCAGAGACAAGGTGTCTCGTTTTATTAATCTGAAGTATTCGCATCATTACAGTGAAACTATTACGAAGAGCCGTGATGTGAGGCCCCCTAGTGGGATTCCGTGATAAGCTCTGGTAAGAGCAGGATAAATTCCTACTGAACACCAGCATAAGCAACCATAGCATCAAATATACGATCACGTGGCAAGGCATAAGAACACGCAGCCGGTGATAATATGGTATCCCTTGGCGAAGTATAAGAACACGTAGCCGGGGCTAATATACGATCACGTGGCGAGGTATAAGAACACGCAGCCGGTGCTAATACGATCATGTACAGAGTTATAAGAACGCGCAGCCGGTGCTAATGTACGATCACGTCGGGAGGTATAAGAACATACAGACAAATTTTGACAAGCTATCTCGGCTGATTGGCAATTCAATATCGGGAGCCGCTAATAACAAAGGAGTACCTTAAAATACTCTTTGTCATCTCTTCAGAGAAGTTTAAAAAATATACTACAAAAATCTGTTGTCATAAATTACTCAACTGCATTTCAGTATAAATAAATCTTATCTTATCAATTAACTTTTCTGATTGTTACCTTCGTTCGTGTCGATTATGAATTTTAGAAATACAGCTTTCAGAATGTTTGAATTTCTTTCATATAAGATACTTTTTTTTTTTTTTTTTTTTTTTTTTTTTTTTTTTTTTCAATTCTTGCCGAGGAGTCACATTATGTTACCGTTCATTTCAGTGTTTTGAGTGATAAGAAGATATATCTGTATCTGCTGTTACTTTTCTGTATCCTAATTACCAGCAACTGTCATGAAAGTGGCCTACATCAGAAGAGCTGATTATGAGTGAAGGTTCAGTATACCTTTTGAATTGATGTGCGGTATTATAATAGCTTTTGAATTGTGTAATTTGAATTTCTTGCAAAAGGCAAATCTCGTGCATTATATTTAACGTTGTTAAAGTCTGGAAAAGCACACATTTTCCAAATATGGTATATTCAGTGTTTTGATGCTGCGAAGTACAATTTATATTGCCTGTTGTTTCTTAAGTTTGATAAATTAAAGACATTAATTAAAGACTCATACATTTTCTTCTTTGCAGGCCGTTATTTAAACAGTTATATTTAAAAACTGTTTAAAAGTCTTGAGTTCTATGGATAGTTCAAAAAACATTTTTTTTCTTCTAGTTCTGTGACCCATCTTAATACTATCTTTAGTATTCTGAAAGACGGTATACAGAAAAGAGTTACCACAACTCGTTTCTCCGTATTTCAAATTCTTGCGAAGGCATTTTAAATGAGCTAATAGCTGAAGTTTTGAAAGCCAGAAGTGAAGTCTTGAAATCTTCTATAAATTTACATTTTGATTACCTGTAAAAATGTAGAACTATTAAACTGAATTACATGCCTTTTGTATGGTCTATGAATTTGCATTATATTGATTATGTAGTTAAAAATATAAAATATCGAACTGAGTCATACCTTTTGTATGATCAATGAATGCATATTTTGATTTATATAACAGTATTAAATTCAGTGTCATGCTTTTTGTGCGACCCGTGAATGCATATTTTGATTATATGGAAAACAATAACACTATTAAAATGCACACATATATTTTGTACAATACCTTTAACACCCAATAAATTGCTGTAAAACCTTAAGAAAACTGGACAAATGCAGCGTAATGTCTTTAAATGGCGACGAATCAAGTTAATGTCATTACATGTCAACAGTAATCCCAGAATACGGCAAATATGATGGGAATAATATAAATGCTTTATCTGTGAAAAGAATTCGTATCAATTTTTTATTATTCTGAGTCTAAAATGATAATTTAAACACTTGACATACATATAACTGTCACTGAATCTAACATGCATTCAGACTTTCAAAAGTAAACAGGCATTATGATAAGTCTCTAAGAAAGGAGAATAAATTACATTTCTTTGTTCTTTGAACGTATTTCGAGCTAAAATATTGTATAGTAGAGCTTGAAAATAAATACATTCTTCAGTTTAGGAAGATCAATAGGCAAATATTTTTGCAGTTATTGTCAAGTTTTTAAAATCTCAAACACCCAGCTAAAAATAAGTGACAATATTCTTATAATTTTGTTCAGATAAAACTTTATTGTGAAACTTCCAAGAGTGAGCAATTGTTAAGTCTTCTCATGTTTGCTAATCCTCTACGCTAGAACCCCAAATACCTGGTCTGAGTAAGGTTGAAGCCCATCCGGATATTCTAAAATTCCGGATAATTGGGATTTTCTATATATCATTAAGAAAATTTTATTTTTTCCTTCATCGTATTTTATTCCGACATAGATTGCGCAGTTAAAAGCAAAATATATTACTTCGTAAATATAAATACAAAATGTACATTTTTTTAAACGAAATTAAGCACACGGAACCCATTTCTATTTCAACTAAAGTGAAACAGAGACATTCATTTTTAATTACGTAAGCTCTAAAAGTAAATGCGTAATGATGTTTTATTTTTACTTATCGAAATTAAAGGGAAAAAAGTATTTTTTCTTCTCTTGAATCCATTAATTTTTATGGCTAGAAATTTCATTGTAGCATTGTAGAACAGACTGTAGATCATACACATTTATCTAAATTAATGAATAGCTTCTTAAAATTTATGATTTAGTCAGTAGCTTTTTATATTGCTTAAATTAATGGGAAAAATTAAAAACACATAAATAAATTAACAGCAAACATTTTTTTTTCCTTGACTAAAAACAAACAATTCATGCAACTGAAGTTATGAACATCTGGATCCCTTATAATATAATATGGGTTTTGCAATATACCTAACCTTAAATTCAAATCCCAGTTTTATATGAAAGTACTTTTGAAAACATTTCGCGAGCTTTTTATAAGTGAAAGAAGTTTGGATAAGACTTGAGAACTTAAATGGTTAATTTTCAAGCATGGCTTTATTTATGGGCATGGTAAACAGTATAACCTGGGCGCTCAGAATAATACTGTGGGCTGAATACTGATTTTCCAAGAGAGACCCGAATTGTAGTCCAGCTCCAGCCAACACCACCAAAACGTGAGTACTGATTTGCAGTTTCTGTGATCCTAGATCAAGTTATATTTCATTATTTGCAGTAGAAGGGAAAGCGAGTTACCAGAGTTAATAAAAATTCTAATATCAGGTGAATAATCTGAGTTACTTTCTTTCTTAGATGATACATGACAACTTTTGTTATATTTCATAACTGGGACTATTACTGGGACAAAATCTGTTTGCAAGTAGTCATTCTTTTATTTTAAAATTTTTTAAACATGTGAGATTTCTTGAGGTATCAAATATTTCGGCATTTAGATTTTAGACAGCAGGACTTAAAGCATTGGAGGTACCCTAAGCTAGACGCCATAGTACCATTAAATAAATATGACCTTTTCCCCAAAACTACTCGTTTTTAGTTTTCAGAAAGTTCTGGCAACGTTTACATCCTTAGTTGAGGGCGTGATTCTTGAATTCACGCAAGTTACAGGATATTTACGCAAGTTCAGTACACCCCTTGTGTCAACTCTAGAAGGTTCAGCTCACTGCGGGAGGGATTGTTGCATGCTAACGCTGGTCATTTCGCAGTTTCATCCAGCTGCAGTGAACTGTCGGATAACCTCTCTCTGTGATTTAACTTTTTTTAACACGAGTAAAATGGCTAGCTAAATTTTTAACTGTATGCAATCTTTTAGTCTAGCTATATATTAATGTATAGTTCGGTTATAATCTTCCCTTATTATAACCTGTTTCGTGCTGTAACAATCAGTGGTATATCTATTGTATTCCTTGTTGTAGATGTAGCTCTTTCTCCTTCCTTTGCATGAAAAGCTGCTTAATATCAAGTGAGGGAAACGCTGCTTAATAAATACCTAATAGCTATGAATATATTCAAAGGTAAATAAATCTCTAATTTATTTACTCATTAAAAGCTTTTTCATAGGAACTAATTGGTCTATGCTGCCGTCTTTAACAGATTTTCATGTAAAGTAAGTGAATTTTTCTTTTCCTCTCCAGAATCTTGCAAATATATATGCAAAGATACTTTCTGTCTGTTGAGCATCGTACTCGTTTGCAATGGTCATCCTGAGTGTCCCGATGGGACAGATGAACTAAACTGCACAATTGCGAACTCAACTACTCCTCCACTGACCTACAACATTGATTTCACCGAAGCATGTAAGTTTATTTCATCTTATATTTGCTATTTAAAATTATTTTATAAGTTTTCTTTTTTGTTGATGTTAATTACTAATAAAGGTAAGTGTGAACTAGATTTTGCAAGAACAGGAAATGTAAGTAAAGAGAGAGTTTCTTTTTAGATGTCGAATTCTTTATCTAGTAGCAAATATAATTTTATGTAAAAATATTCAAGTTCAAAATACACTAACGCATATATTTCACGGAATAGATTAAGTTAATATGTCAAACAGTGTGCACATTTCATATCCTTGAATAATCCATACCCTACAATTTAAAGCTGAAAAGCTTCTTCTTTTATTACTCCTTTAGATCCCCCATTGTAATTTAATAACTTTTAAGTTTAGTAAAGGATTTTTGTATTCTGTATACAATTGTGTTATGTATTTTAGTTATTTTAAAAAGCAAAGTGCTTTCTTATATTTCTCTTCCAATTTAACAGTGAAAATTTTCATTCACAATATTTTAGGGCTAATTTAAAGAAACTTTTATTCAGTACAAACTTCCAGCAATCTATAAATTTATTTTTAAGCATTTTGGCTTTACCTCGCAGGGTGTCTTTAGATCTTGAGAACATTTCATATTTATACAGTATCAACGTGAATGTTTTTCTTCTTAAAATTTCCAAATGCGTATAAAATAATAAATTACTAATTCATACTATAAAAAATATCAAGTCAGTAATGAGAGGAAAACTATACAAATTATCGATTTATTAAAAATAAATAAATCTTTGATTTAATATAAGAAAAATAAAACTTCACATATGCTTAATATGTTAACGATCCTCGTCATCTGTTTTGTTTAAACATACTGATATTTAAAACGTAGAGACATAAAATTGTTATTAATTACGGTTAACTATTAAAATGAAAAATGAAAACGAAAATGTTATTAAAAATACAGATTGTACCTATTGTAAGGGAAAATTAAGGGAAGAATGGAATCATTTCTCATTCTGGTATTATAATTATTGAAAGTTCACAGGTAAGTGTTGTATCAAATTATTTCTGCTTTTCGCAGTTTGAACGAATCTCTTACCAAGTATTTAAAAAAAATCTGCTGTATGAAGATTTTCAAGTAAGTTTTATTTTTTTTACTTGTAATTTTTTAACGGATGCGAAAGCAATAGTATCTGTGTAAGAGTAAATAGAAAACAGTTCTATTTTGTAAACAATTATGCAACTATATGACAATAAAAACATGATAGTTGCATTTTAAGTTAACTTGAGCTAGCACCGTAGTTGTTTCAAATTCGTAAACCCAAAATGAATTAATGTAGTACTTTCGAGATATTTTTATAAAGGCAGTTAAAGTTCGTGAGTTACTCCAGGGGCTTTCATTTTAAGTATAATTTTTGATAATGTCAGTTATTGATAATCAGCATGAAAAAGCTTGTAAGGTTTATCTTAATTTATGTAACAGTTAATTTTGAATTAAAGTTATTTTCCTGAATTTCAGCTTACAACTTCCGGCCAGAACATATTTTCAGAATCGAGGTTGAATGCAAATGAGGAGAAGAAGTATTTAACTGTGAAGTTCTACAGACTTCGTTAGACAGCCAGAGATTCTGGTCAGCGCCCGTTAGCCTTTTGGCTATACTCTCTCTAAAGCTATTTTTACGATCGGCCGTACTTTAGGCGCTTAATAATTGTAATAGTTTTTGATTAGGTATTCGTAAGAAAAATCAGTTATGCGCGTATTATTTACGTCATATTTCTTTAGTTATCTTAAGTAGAGGGCTGAAACAAGTTGAAAATGAAGTATCCGAAATGCCATAAAATCATGAGTTTTTCGCTTATCCAAAGCGTAAAAGGTAGAAAGAAAAAGTAGTTTGGCAATAGTTGAAGTCTTCGGGAGTTAAGTTTGCATTCTGAAACTAAATTACCTTTAACCTAGAGAGGACGCAATTTAGCCATTTTGACGGCGACTGTCTCTTAATCTGCTCTCTGACCAGATTTGTTCTAACGTGGACCGCATCGACCTCCTTAAATCCACGACGTTATGAGACAACCACGCATACATTCGGATATTTCCGATCGATTTTGTACCCCCGCTGTGTCGCTTAATTTTATCTTGCTTTGTTATTCGCATCGGAAAAATATTTGGAATTCTATGTTACACTTTCAAAGAAATCATCATGAACAAGTGTTCCCTATTTAACTAATCGCAGACATCTCCAAGATTCGGTA